TAAGCTTCTTATTTAATGTATTCCTTCCTACCCTCATTTTTGTACTTTAAATTATGAATCCAGCTAACTCCTTTACATCAAGATTGATAACATATGGCAAAAGTGTCCGTCGTCTTCAAGGCAATTTTTAACATCTTGTGAATAATATACTTTTCTTTTTACTCAAAATATTTTCCGACATTATTCGTCACTTTTCGCTACCCAGGCAAATGATCGATTCATCTATACACGAGCGATGGGAAACACTTTTGCACGCCTCTAATATTCGCCGCGATTTTCCGAAATTGGATACATTTCGAAATACGCGAAGCAACTGTAATTAACAAATTATATTTGTGGAATCTCCGCGGCGTACAACGGATTGTTTGCAATTTTATCAGGTTAATAAGATTAAAGCGAGAGAACGAGGGCGCGCTGAGTTTTGGGAAAATAATAATTCGGAATCGGGGTCAATGAAGGTCCGGCGCTCGCCGGACACGATTTAACGGCGTAATCTCGGCGCGTATTTGTGCCGCTTTTCGTGCCCACATGTGGATCAGGAGGACTATAAAAATACGCGCGCGTCACACTTATACAGAATTCCTCCGCCTCGTGCGCCGTTCTTTCTCGCCGTCGAGTAATTGTCCGATCGGCCGTACAGCCTCCTTCTCGGTTGTCGGCAAGTAGCATAATTAGTTAGCGCACCGTGAAACGTTCAGGTGTTGCATCGGTTGCTGCCGGCTAGCAGCGCATCGTCCTACCTCCACGCCATCTTCCCACCCACCCCCCCCCTCCCCTCCCCCCGTCTGTCTCGCCGCACCCCGACAGCGAGGAGCCAACGATTTGAGATAACGCGATCATCTCGCCGGGGTGCAACGTCGTTAGCTGTCACGCGCTGCACATTCCACGTGTTCCCGTCGCCGACTGTCGACGCCAATCGCGAAACACGCAGTTCCGGATTGACTTCCTCCCAAAACGACTCGAAATAGAGACTCCGAATCGCACGTATCAAACAACGGAACACCGGCGGAGTTCGCCTGTCGAAAAGTCGCCGCGGATTCACGCGGAAGCGAGCGCCGCGAATCAATCACCGTCGCAATGATCGGATCCGGTCGCTCCGGCCGTCGGATTAGATCGAATCGGGCGAAGCTTTTATCTTGCGCGCGACGCGCTTTTCCGGCTTCTTACTTCGCCGTTACACGTAATGCACGCCGTGCATGTATCGACGTGTGTACGTCGCGCGCACGCCGTAAAAAGCCTCTCGCCGCGCGATCGATTTTTCCATTTCCTCGAGCATTGACATCGTTTTCTTCGATGTAAACTAACAACAAATACGGAGAGCGTACGTCGATGCGCGACGGGACGGAGAAAACACACCGTGGCAACTGGACCGAGTTAAGTCTCTCGGATTCGAATCCAATATGAAAAATCCCGTCCATTCAAATAAGGCGACGATGTGTGGGAGGGCGTCGGGTGTACGTGCACGCCTCGCACAAACAACCTCTCCATCGAGCGCAGGTAGATTTTCAATATCCCGTCGCTCGCGAATCGCCTTATCGCATAACTTATTGAATATATTCAGAGCCCGCTCTCGCCAGGCTTTTGACGAATTTATCACGCCCGCGTTTATCTCACAAGTCAAAAATACAATACAGTGTAAATAAGATCCCCCCGCCTTTCCTCCGTCTGTAAATTTCTTCGAGCGTATCTTTAATTGCAAAATCGAGTCGGGTCGCATTGGAAATGCGCCTCCAGATGTTTTCCCGCGTCGTTTGTCGAGGAATGCATAATGAAATCTTGCGACAACTTTAAGAAGCAGTTTATAGATACAGCACGGATGTGTGTAGAGCCGCGCGGAGAATATCGTATATATACAGTCGGCGTATATATAGTCGCGAATCTCGAGCAGTGCCGTCTGCTGGGTCGGACACGTACTAGCGCGGTGCAGTCACCACCTGGCCTAAAACCGCTACACATCACCCTCCGAATTTTCCCGTTCTCCCCCGTGGAAATCCGGCACGCGGCTCTCCGCGATCAGCGTGGACCACCGGGCACGGTGAGTATGGCCATCGACGAGGCCTCGTTCGCGACACGATCGGCCGCGAATCGCCGGGGGGGAGGAGGGGGGAATGGCAAACGCGCACCACCCTCCCCTACGCCGTCGCTCGCCCTGGAACATTCCGACAGCTCGGCGGACGGACTCCGTTGTCACGCTGTTTGCGTGAGACAAATCGCGAGCGTTTCTCCGTGACGAAACTGTACAACGCGAACGGCACGGAAGGAGGTCGATAACATTGCGCGCCCGCGCAATTCCTGCGTTTCTTCGCGAACGGCGAGCGCGTAAGAAGGGCGAAAGAGAGAAGACCGGCCGCCGACCGGGAGTGCGAGAAAGGTGCGTGTGTACAGGTGCGAAGATGGAGAAATCTCGTGCGAGCGCCGGGCCTGCGGTGATCGGAGACGCGCGAGAATATACACACGACAGGATCGCGACCGAAGGAAGATCCAAGGTCGAGCTTCCGTCGAGCGAAGGGTTCGGGCGGTCGCCGGGCTGAATTTTCTCGTATCGATTGGCGGGCGACGCACTCGGCCAGCGGTGGCTACACGCGCCAAGCGTTCGTCCAGGACCTATCCTACTCGCGGTGCTCCTCGACGAGAATTATTCCCGTCGCCGGCGCGACGACTGTCATCCGCGCGATACGAGCTGTCGTTGCGTGTAATTACCTTGTGTTATCTGCAATAATTTCGCGCGTTTCCGCTCGGCGATGTGTTTGACGCGATATTCTCCCGGGAGGTCGCCGTGATGTGCGGAGGCTGAATACGGTTTTGCCCTTTATGCCCTTTCGATTGCCGATGTGCGAATAGCGAACGCAAAGTGGACGGTCGTGATTTTTCATTGAGAACCAGCGTCGAATAAAAAGAACAACGGCGGGGAGAGAAGATTTAATTAGTCATAAAATATGCTCGTGTTTGTTCATTTTTGTAAAATTTGTTTCGTCCAATTTTTCTTGATTCTTCTCACCTACTTTTGAGCGGAGGAAGAAACTCGCGACTGGAAAATCAGGTCTGATATTTCTGGCTGCTGTCTCCAAGATGACAAAACGCCGATTCGCCGGTTGTCAGCGTTTAGCAGCGCGTAATGCGGTTATTTCCTCTTTTCAGCGATGCACAGCACAGATTCGGATTTCGACGTATTGAATACGCGGTATTCCGTGCCGTACAATACGTCCGGCCGCGTGTGCGTGTAACGGAAAGCGTAACGCGTCCGACGTGCACCGAGGTGTGTGCGTTTTCGACGGTCATCGGGCATTCATTGTCTTTCGGTGCAAAAGCGAAAGGGAGGAAATCGCTGTTTCGCCGAAAGGGACGAAAGCGCGCGGAGAGATGTACAAGAGCGAATTTTGCGCTATCGATCGCGGTGTGCAGCCGGCGCATTCGTTAATAGCCATTCAATCGTGAGTATTGACACGACGAAGGTCGACTCGGCAAAATATTGCTCGTCCGTATTATTCTCATTTTATTTTTGTATTTTATATTTGCAAAATGTTTTTTTTTAACCGTCGAGTGTATTTTGCGCGTAAATGCGTGAAAAAAAGTATTGTTTTTGCGTAAAGTAAAATGGGTAAATTTTTAAAAACTTTTCGCAAAGTTATTATTCAAAAATAAATATTTATTATAAGACCTTAAACAATAATTTTTTTATCTTATTATTGCGATTTTTTTCTGTAATCCGGCGGCTTTTCGATTTTTTTAAAAGAATGTTTTAATTAATAAGAGACCACAAAATAATAAAATTTTTCCGAGGATAAGCTTAAAACTGCAACGCACAATATAATATTGAAAGAAATTTTGTTCAAGAAATAAGAAAGCTGCCGGAAGAAATGTCGTGAGAAACATTGTGATTGTGTAGAAAAATGATTTGATTTTTTACAATAAATATATATTTTTAATTAATTTTGTGAAAAATGTTCACTCGCCCTCGCGATATATTTTCAGAACAGCTTTCGATTGTTCTGGAGAAATAAAATTTTCGTACGATTACAGTGCTGCGAAAGTATTGCGTTCGTCCGATGATTCCGCCGCCTTCCCGTCCCCCCCAATATATGATATTTCAGATCGCGTCACTTCGCATTCCGCGGACATCGCGTAACCGGAAGCGTGAGCCATTCTGCCGCTTCCTCCTCAATCATCCGCCCGCCCGTTCCTCGTCGCGCGCAAAAGAACTCCACAGACGGTTGTTGTTTATTTGTCCGATTTGATATTTGCAATTTTATCAGCCTCGTCCTTGGAGGAGTATCTCTAGCGTGAAATCGAAGCGGCGAGTTAGCGAACCCGTCGTGCATTAATAGAAAGACGCAGCGGAAAGAAACGTGCCGTCGAACACGGGCGAGACTTAGGAGCGATCTCTATTTTAGTGCTAGGCAACAGAAAGGAGAAGATGTAGCTGGCTAGAAATAGAACGACGCAGCGTTAACTCGCACCTCCCACGCGCGATCCCTCGCGAGAAGGAAACTCTGGTCGTTATGAAGCCCTCGCATTCATCCTTTCTAGCTTTCTACCGGAGCGTGTTTTACTTCTCTCTCTCTCTCCCTCTTTCTCGACTTCTGTTAAACCTGAAATTTGCGCGACATTTACATGGCTATGTTTGACGACGGTGCTGGATAGTAAATTTTGAGCTTCGCTTATGGGAACTGCCGCGAAAGGAGAGAGAGAGAGAGAGAGAGAAGGAGAGAGAGAGAGAGATCGCTTTTATCTCGTGGCGGAGTTAAATTAAAATTTAATGAACTGTGGAATCCGAAGCCCTTTCATATCACAGTGATTTCGCGTGAAGGAGGACTGGCAAGGATGTTCGCGTACCTTTAATCACGTTAGCTCCCGACGTATTCGGCGTCACGGACCTTCGTCCTGTGCGGTATCAAAATCGCTGCGCTCACAGTCGATGATCTGTAAAATATCTAGCAAAATTTAACGTCGATTAAGACATGTTCGATAAAAATTGCATTGCTATCTCGCTCGTTTTTCAGAAGGAACCAAGCGACAAGCAGAGGACATCGGCGAGCTCGACTTACAACACCTTCCCGGATGACTTGTACCTGGACGATCAGGACGCGTTAGAGGGCTCCGGCCGAGGTGGTCCTGATAATCGCGACGACCTTGAAGCTTCGGGCAGCGGCCTTGGCCCCGATGACGAGGACGGGGACGACGATGGTATGACATTTATCGTCGTAAAGATCGCGATGTCGCGGCGAGGAGGACCTTTCGACGGCTGGCAAAAAAATAGATATCAGCACTCCGGCGCTACTTGTTCCTCGGCAATTGGAAATTCACTCTTAGCATTCGCAAGCGTTTTAATCGGAATGTAGAGAAACTTCTCCGGGTTTCGCACATCGCAAATTTGTACTTCAACCTGTGATAAATTTTAATATTTAAATTTAACAACTTTTTATATTGCAGAATTTACCGGTAACAATGGACTAGAAATCTCGAAACCGACCGAAGCGAGACCGTCATACATCGAGGACTCGCACGAAAAAACTAAACAACAGGTAAGACAATATTTTCCGACAGTTCCAAACTTGACTCTTATCTTGGATCTTCAGGTTTTATCTTCGGGCGTCTAAAATATATTTTATGTTGTTCCGCTCTTAGTTTCGCAATTTGTAGAATAAACATTTTATGTTTGACAAAAAATTTGAAGAGGAAGAAGAAGACAAGAAAATGTCGATTTCATAAAGCTACCAAAGTTGCATTTCATCTTACGTAATATATTAGTAATTTCACGATGTTCTGCGCAATATATGCCCATATTTTCTACGCAAGCGCATAATCTAGTTTGCCCGATTAGAATACTAGACGCGCTATTTTGCGAACAGATACACTTTTGTTCGATGACGCGCGCGCTATTTTTCACACGAATCGCGAATTAAAGTGATTGAATGGTATCCAATTTCCAGACTATTGACGACGTAAACCGACCCGGCAACGGGGTCGGCGTAATCGAACCCTCAGGCACGGAAGACGATCGCCCTGACAACACAGACCCAGATATTCACGAAGTTTATATCATGAATCCGAAGTCTGAGGATCGCGCCAGTTCATTCTTCGCGCAGCCAGGCGTACTAGCCGGTAAGTAACGAAGTCCTCCATTAAGTCCTTCAAAATCCTCAGGAAAATTTTTAACAACATTAATTTAAGAAATCTAACTCTAGCACAATTTAATATGATTTATTTATTTCTTCCGCATCCATTTCGAATATTTGTCATCTTTTATTCTTCTAATTATATAAGGACACAATTTTCATTATGTCTCATTTTCATTCATTATGGCTCGATAAAGCTGGTGATATTGAATAATATTATATATTGTACAAAGAATCTTGATGAAAACTTTATCCGACATAAATATAAAATGTCTCGATCTTACTTCCAGCTGTGATCGGCGGCGCCGTAGTAGGCCTCCTCTGCGCGATACTGGTCGTCATGTTCATCGTGTATCGGATGCGCAAGAAGGACGAGGGCTCGTACGCTCTGGACGAGCCGAGAAGATCACCCGCGGCGCAGGCTTTCCCTAAGCCGGGCGCGCCTCATCACAATCGGGAGTTCTACGCTTGAGGCAACGGCGGCGTGATGACGATTTCGCCGATTCCTCTCGCAATCTCACGATGCCAAGCCGAGTAAAGATCACCGATGATCAACGCTCGCTTTTGAAATTCCGCTGGTCAATGGTGAAACAATTACCTCGGCGACCCGTACGGCACGCGCTCATAAAAACTCATTCAACGCGAAGTTCCCAACCGAGAAACGTCGCGCCGAACGTCGGCCAATATTTCTCGATATTGCACGGATTTCTCTGACCCGCGTCGTTATTTGCTTGTTCTCGTGTTTTCTTCTCAACTATTATGATACGTCCCCCGCCTACCTCGGCTCCTTTGGGTTCTGTCCTCGAGAGGTAATTTTTCACCATTCCACCGAGCTTCCCCCATCATCATTTCGACTCGAATTCTGAGTCGCGGCGATGACGTTCACGCGTGCGTACGCTTCTCGGTCGCTTGAACTCCTCTTGACTCTCGGAAACTGTATTTTCTTACGCGCTGTATTTCATCGCGTCAAAAAAAAAGAAAAAAAAAAGAAAAAAAAGAAAAGGAAAAAAAAGCCGCACGCGAGTAAGAGAGTCTGAAGCGAGATGAATTCGCGGCTGACGGACCATTCGCCGAACGCCGAATTCTTTCAGCTGTGGATGCTCCGATTCGCCTTTCGCAAATAGTCTGTACAGACTTTCCTTTCCGTCGTTCCGATTTTTCACCGCATTTGCTACCCTCCGAAGGTTCACTTCGAAGTGTAATCATCCCCGCAGAGTGACTGAAACGATGGACAGTAAACGGCGAGGCCACGTATCTCGTGCGTATCCCGTCGAGACATCGTCGGCAAAGGTTGCACCAATTCCAAGATGCATTTACAAGCGTATTTAGAGCGTATATATATTATATATATATTTACGTGTATGTATACGTATATATATATACATGTACAGGGACTGAGAGCGTGAAAATTCGTGGGCGATAAACGCCGCTGCTATGTCGTTAATCATTCTGTCCTACGGTGGAAGGAGGGTAGAGAAGAAGGATCGTTGCAGCACCGTGATTTCTCTCCGACAGCAAGAGCGGTGAGGAGTTAAGCTGCAACCTCATTCGCGTCGCTGCTATCACTTCTTTTCTTTTTCAAATTTACGATATCCACTTCTTTGATACAAGCGTTTGATATCCGGTCCGTGGAAGATTTAGGTTTTTTAGCGCGCGTTCGCAGGTTTTAATAAAACGAGGGGAAGCGACTGCAGCTACTGTTCACCATATCGATCGATTGCAGAGGGAATGAAAAAGAACACCTATATTAAGAATATGTGTTAAGCATTAATCACGTAGCGCTACCGCATCGACCAATATTCAATTCCGAGGAAATAAAAAAAAAAATGCTTAGCTCTTGATACATTTCTAAGAGTTATATTAGTTACACAAGATTAGTCGCTTAGCGATGGAGAATTTATTCGATCGATCTGATCACTGATATTGTATATATCGTTGTGAAACAACACAATTATTTCTACAATGATTACGTGCAATTTTATACGTACTTTTCTTGTGCAATTTTTTTCAATGTTGTTCCGCTACATTTTTAATCGGAAGGAAAAATTTACGATTTTAATATTTAAGATACTCAATCATCTTTTATATTTTTTTACTTTATTCATTTTTTACTCATTTATAAGCTAGATTATTGCGTGTTTCTTGCAAAGTTTTTCCAATTGAATTTTTTTGTTCCAATAATTTATCGGTTATTTGTAAATTCTATTTCGAAAATTGTGACGTGTAAATACCGAGACAATCTCAATAATTGTGAATATGTTTCATGCATTCGTCGGGCATTTAATCATTTTTATCAAACTCCTTATACATGAATCGCTATACATTTTTAGCAAATAAAATAATATCTTGATTAAGCGTGTCATATTTTTCAAACGCGAACAAGCAATCATACGTATGCATCGTCGATATCGCAATAAATTTTCTTCCAGATCGAAACAAAACAAAAAAAATGCAGGTGAAACGTCCGTCAATAGAGATTGAATATTTTGCATTTCCTTCGATGCATTTCTTTCATTGAAGATAACTCGTAGGATCCAGCAAATCATGTTTGCATGGCAATGGGGTGCGTCACACCCTCCTTCCACCCACAAAATAATAACACATCCATTTCTACTACGAGAGACGATTCCGATGCTAAAATAAAATTCTTGATCCTGGTTTTGTCTTGTCAAGAACTAACACCGACGAGAAATTATATTGCCATAAAAACGGACGCTGCGATTGAGGCACAATTACGCATGACACGAAAAAAATGTGGTTCCTCCTGCCCCGAAAGCGGCATGATAGAGCGCGCACGCCTTAGTACGACTAAAAAGATGCCATAATGTCATTATTAGAAAACGAAAGGGAACACGCGAAAAGCGGTACAAACGCGTATCCGAATTTTTTCAGCGACACTTCGTCGCACGATTGATCTGTGTATCGCGGATAGTTGTATTGTTTGTTGTACGTTTTTTTTGCGACATTTCTTCACCCCCGCCCCCTTCGCCCCCCCCCTTTGTTTTCCCGTCGTACGTTTATCTTCCATGATTTTTGACAGTTCTTGAATCTCTTTGCTCGCGATTCCATTCCTCCGTAACAATACAAGTGTCGTCTTTTCGCAGAAAATCCGATCCGCCGTAGAAAATCGGACGCGTTGGAGTAATTAAAAGTATATCATGCCGATACTGCCATATACTACGTAAGGAACAGCGATTTGGTACGAAACTCTCACGAATCCGCCTTATATAAATCACATTATTTGTCACTTCACATCATCTCTCATCCCGTCATCTTTCAGGTTTTTCGATCTTTCCCGTTTTTATTTAATTTTTTTTTCCTTTCCAGCTGATTCGTGCTTTTTACGTCTAAATGCGCTGACTATGAATACTATTATAAAAAAAAATGTATAGAATCTACTAAACGCCTTATTTATTTTATTACCGTGAATAATGTTATTCCCTATCATCTACAGCAAATTTGTTGTTTCTTGATTATTTTATTTTTGTTGAAAATGCGTCATGGTATCGTTTCGACAAAAGGATGATTTTCGCTTCAGCATACCATGACATAATTTTATTTATTTTTATTCTTATCGATTAAAAATTCTAGTTACTCGTACGTAAGGAAAAGTTTAAAATTTGTTTTGCTCTCGTCAAAGAAATAAATTCTGCAAAATTCCATTGTTTCTCCTTGTGTGCTCACGAAATCTTTTTTCGATATATCTAAATTTCGAGTGGTACATAGGAATCAACTAATAAGGATATTAATGATAAGAACAATAGTAACGATAGTTAGATCTAACATCGGTTACAAACAAGAAAATATACTTATTCTTTTAGAATACTCTTCATAATTTATTTGATAATCTTGGATTTATATTATTCTCGTTTAAATCTTCGTATTCAATGAGGATCGATTAAATCTCTCCCTCTCTCTTTCTCTCTAATATTTCACACGATCCTTTAATCGTTTTCTAAATTTAAGAAAGAAGAAAAAAACGTTTTATAACACGCTTTTCTCTGCAATATTCCTCTTGCTCTCTCTTCTTATCTCTATTGTTTATCTTTCTTGATAATCTTCATCTCGTTTGTCCTGTGCGAAGTAAACAAGAAAAGACCTAGAAATTGGGGCTCGTAATCTTTATTGTAATAATAATCGTATATGATATAGATGAAATTGTTTGTTAGGTAGTAATTGACCGCATGGTGTTGCTCGCCTCAGCTTGCGCCTCACCATACGGCCAATTAGAATTCGAGAAACATTAAGCGAAGGGAAAAAAATAATAATAATTGTAATGAAATCATATTTTATAAGAAGACGTATTCCGTAAGATCACTATAGCAATGAGAAGTCTAATGCTAGACAAAGCCCATAGGCCAGGTGGACGAATGAAAATAATTTTAAAAGTGAATATAATTAATATTTAATAATAACGATAATATTAACAATGTTATTTTTTAAGTGTAAGTATTGTCATCCCGAAAACACCATCACTCATCCCAAAACCACCTCCTCATCCTTTTCCCACATTGTTCCCTCTAACCGATCTGTATTACATATATGTGTATATATCTCCGTCTATGCACGAACCCACAAAAAATACGTATATATACATGTATATGTACTTATATATAAATATATAGATATATACTCGCTCGCAATTGCGGTAAAACGTTTGTTTCGATTTTTCGCTAAATTGTTCTCTTCCCTCGCCCTCCCTTTTTTTTTTAAATTTTCTCCGCCACTCGTTTCCTGAGATTTCTAAGATGCCCTGTTATCGCACGATAACAAATCGACGAAGACACGAACAGCTTTCACCAAATGCTAAAAATTGAATATCCGTGTTATTGCTGTTGCGGGCATTAATTAATTATGTTATTACTGGATTAACGGAAATTAATAATAATTGCACATTATTAGTATAATAACAAACAATAATGTATGTCGTCGCTCCTATTCTGTAAATAAATACTGTATCATCTAAGGAAATGTATTGAAAATTTCTTTGAAATTTATGACGAACATAATTTTTTTAATAATTGTTGAACCTCGGGACTCGCAGAAAATCGTACACCAGTGATAACGTGCGAAGGAAGATTATTTAACTTTATTTATATACTAAAATACAATTGTACAATATAGACGTTTTTCTCAGCTTGATGTTAAATTGCCATATTCGAACATTATCAACGTGCAATATGAAAGTAAATTCCTAAATGCATACTGGGGCAATTTTATAAAAATTTACTATCTTCTTCTTTTTTTATTTTATCCCGTAATATCACAATTTTAAAACAATATTTTGCATATGTACTGTTATTTGCATATACAATCTATGTTATAAAATATTCCTATCAAAAATATTCATTTTTTATTAATTTATAAATGTATAAAAATATTTTGTAAGCAATATCAAAAACAATTTGTGCTAGTACAAATGCCGATCAACGTTTAATAGACAATTACATTCCCAATCCGCTTAAAATTCCGTTTTTTGTTCAACATTATCATGTAAAAATGCTCTTTCTGGAATATCTTAGAGAATATCATAACTAAGTAGATATGCATATTAATACATAATAATATATTGTGCGATCGCGTTTTGTTACGTCACAATAATGACCACGTCTGTCATGTGATTATAGTAACAAGGATTTTTGTGACTCGTGTTTCTTCGTCATGTTCAAACTTGCAATTCAAGCTCAATTCCACATGTTTATTGCAGTTATTTGCAATTATAACGAAAGTTATCGCTTTCGTTCTATATTCTGCTTTAAAAATCGTGTATTCTTATCTTCGCGCTTAGTAATGTTTGTTTTCTCATAACTGTTTTCTCCTCATTGAATTTCCAAAATATTCTTATTTATTATAATAGAGTAGTTGGTTGACTATTTTGTTTGCAAATACGATATTTACGATTTTTGATTATAAATTGCTTTTAAGAAAAGGCTTCAAATACTTATGGAAGGATTGATTCACGCTTTCTTGATTCAACGGACTCTTCATCGCCTCGTCGAAGAGACGTTGATACACATTACCGTCGTACGCGCCGAGTGCAGACGCGAGGATCTCGTCGCGAATATCGAATCCGTCAACGATACCAACGGCGTTTGGACGAATTGCGGCGAGCATCTCCTCGAAACGCGCCTGGAGCGCGGGAATATCTTCATTATTTAAACAGGAAAACTGTAATTGCAAAATGCAAATGTTACACGAGATAAATCTCAATAATTGTCAAAATTATGATTATTTCAGTTTTCTAAAGATATAGATACTCACTCGTAAAAAATCTCCGAGTCGTTGCAGAACCCAATATATCAAGTATAATTCGCAAAGTTGCATTAGCACTTCGTGAAGCTTGTTGGACACGGATGTCAGTCCTCTGACAGCCTCGACGAATCTCATTACTAAGAAAGCCCGGCAGTGAGACTCCGCGCAGTGTGCTAATTCAATGCTAGTTTGATTCCACGCGTCCTCCGGTGACGCGCCGCTACGTATTCTGCGATCCATATTTTCGGTTGCCAAGCGAATTTTACTAAAAAAAAAAAAGTTACAAATTGTTTTACAAGTCACTTAACTAGTCACATCAATTTGTTTTATATTTGCAAGTATAAGTATCTTCCTGCTGCAAAAGTAAAAAATATTTACCCAGCCGCTACAGCCTGATGAGCCTGTATAATGCATGATAAAGTATTTTTCCAAGGACGTTGTTTCACTCCACGTGAAAGGACGGCTAAGTAGCCTACAGTCGGCGGCACCACTTGACCGCCGACTGCTTGCCTCCAAGCTTTCACTAAATATCTAGCAGTTTGCAGTAGTAGAACTGTATTTTCACCTTCGTAAGTGCAAGTAGCCGTTACTAAACCGTAAGTTGCCGGCAGGTTGCTGGCATCCATGTAACCGTGTCCACCACACGCCAATCGTAATTGCTCGATGCCCGTTGCTCCGTCCGATGATGCAACTGCCTTCAAACAACACGCCAGTGCGTGCAACTAAAAACAATTTTTAATTTTAAGTAATGATAAAACAAGTTTTACAAGTTAAAAGTAGCAATTATGTCCGTGATACTTTTTATATAGCTCATATTTCCATAGCAGTGTTCTAACATACTTCAGGCAATCTTTCTAGTTCCCCTTGATCTAATTCAGCCGTCACATTGTTGTGCATCTCCCAAATCCAATCGGCGGCCATTCGAAATGCGAAACACGCAGCGAGATTGGGAAACAATTTATATTGCTGAGTTACGTAATCCATAATTTGCGATTCCGGCTGGCTGAAATATATGAAAAGGCATTCTGAGGTCGCGATTATAATAAACAATTAAAAAAAGAAAGTTATTTTAGCAAATCAATTATGTATACCAAACAACAAAAATGCATTTCTGCTTCCATAAAAAATGGAGATTTTTTAAAAATCTGTTACACAACCAGTAAAAACAAACCAACTTTCTGTCATTGAAATTTAAATTAATTGCGGTACCCATTAAAATTTTGAATATTAACTTGTATTGCTAATTATTGTACATGCATCAAGAGCTGAAACAGCTTAGAATATAAAACATATGATAATGAACACTTTATACAACTCGACCTATATTAATTCCGTATCCTTGGGTCATAACACCACGTGTACAAAATAATTAGAAGAAAATAAAATGCACAAAAGAGTTTTAAAACAGACTAAATATCGGACAATCTATATGTATCTACTTTTGCGCATTTCTTCTTATCAATAATTTTTACATACTCGGCTTTTATTTGACTTTGTCGTCTAACGGCGCTATATCTGATAGCTATCGTCACCGCTTTGGATAAATAACTAGCGACATCACGAACTAATACCACTCGGACGAACATCATAGTGCCATAAGTGAGCTTATCACTAGGCGCTTTCACATAAGTTCCGTCCTCCAACACCTAAAAGTTCAAATGATTAAACCATCAAACTCCTTCAGCCGTTAAACAACCGGAATAATAATTTTATTTTCTCCGTTACCTGAGAATTCTTCATTAACATATTCTCGCGCGGTATTCTGACGTTATCGAAGCCAAGGAAGCCATTGTTAGTTGCATTCATTCCTAACTTAGTACCAATTTCACCGATCTTTATACCTGCAGGCAAAAACAGTTTTGCGTTATATAAAACTTCCTGCCGTAAGTGTAGTGCTTAGCGAAATATATATATATTTCTATTGCAAAACAAGCATTTATGAAATTTATATACCCAGTAAAGGCTCATGAGTGTCTTCGTCTCTGAGTTGCACAATGAACGGATGAACACCTCTACATTCTCCTTTCGTGTATAACTGTGCGACAACAATTGCATAATTCGCTGTCTGACCCACTAAACAGATTTAATTTAATTTAATTAAATAATTTTATTTAATTTAAATAATTTTTTATCGGATGAAAGCAACCGAAGTATGACAGTTGAGGCGAAAAATACTTACAGCCACCGGGCCACCATTTGTACGACGTTAAAGTCGGGCTGTTTAACACAAATTCTTTGGTCGCAGGATCATAGGTTGCTGTAGTTTCTAAACCTCTAATAAATGTGCCGTGTCCGAGCTCTGTCTGAAAATACATGGATTTATTGTATTTTTCAAACACACTGCTATTTTGAGAAAGATTTTTATGCTATTTTATGCCTAAGAAACACACACCTGGGCGTAGGTACCGATGATATTGCAACTCCAAGCCCTGGATATCCAATATCCTTGCTGCTCGACATTGCCCTGTCCCATGATAGCCGGTATAAACATCACATAATGCAGCGTCAATGGATTACCATCCTTTAATATCGCCGAGCCCAACATGCCTCCCAGAATTTGTCTGCAAAACAGCGCGGATGCTTTCGTCATTTTTCTAGATGAACTCATATTTTAATTATTATTGTAAAGCTTCGAACATCAACATTTTCTAACGTACAATTTCTTTAGTAATGAAAACATCGTGCATCATTTATTCATTATGCGTTTGTAGTAAACTTACGAGAAAACGTCCATGCCACCTTTCCCCGATTCCTGCAACTCTTGCACTTTCTCAAGTACTCGACAGCCCTTCATTACGGCATCCTCATAAACTTCCTTGTGACTCTTGTACTTGGCAGGGATTTTGTCGGATAAGAGCGGATCGCTTAGAAAAAAGTTTTCTGCAAATAATCATCGGTCAATTTGAATCACGAAACGGAATGAAGTAAATAAGTTCTACGCGCAATGACATGCACAAATAAGATCTATATATAATTGCGGTAAAAACAAAATTGTTGAATTATAAAAAAAAACAAAATAATTATTAGTAAAAACAAAATGATGAATTATTCTTCAATCTACATCTCCTGTTCCATTGCAACCTGCGTGACCAGTTTTTGCGGACACGATAAATCAGTTATCAATAAACTACAACATCATTAAAATATAATTTGCTTCGCTTTAAAATTCATTAATAATTTAAGAAACAATATAAAATTATGTATATATGACTCGGTGTTAGCAAATAATATAAGCAAATGATCTGATATCTTTTTTTATCTGTGGATCAATAGTTCAAAGTCTACTTCAAGATAATTTGTACATAAAGAATCTCTCCACACATAGTTTTCAATATTATATATATATTATTACGTCGTATTTATTGAGATATTGAAAGAATCTTTGTACGCTAACACACGAGAATTGTTGATATCTTAGATCAACTTAATGTAATGTTTTTTTTTTCCCAATACTGTCCAATACTGTGAAATGATTTCATCCTGCAAGTCATTTGCGTATTTCCAATAATCGCATCGTCATTATTAACGATTGCACTTTGCAATTGTTTGCACAGTCTTAATTATGTTAATGACGTTATAACATGAAAAATGTTTAACCTTAATCGTAAACCTTTATCGTAAACCAGTAATGTGATACACGTATAGAAACACGTATAAAAAATGCTGCCTTGCATATTTATGTAAATATTCGATAAAATGATTTCAATGATATTTACATACTCGTATTCGACATATTTCCGTCTCGATGTGATAAAATAAATCTTCAGTATTACTATCCGAACGTTTATGTAGAATTTGTACAAAATATTATTAATAAATCAAATAAAATGCTAGCCAAAAAAAAAAATGATATCTAGTCATTAACACATTAAAATGCAAGATACTGCTATCAATACTGCATATCTTGTTATTGTTTTCGGCATATTTTATGCATGAAATATCTAGATCTTCGAAGATACAGATATATACAGATATGTGCACAAATAAATGGATAACTTTTTTAACAAAAATTTATTCATATAACGTAATTCAGTAATTTGTTATGATTTCGCTAGAACATGATAAATTAATACACAGGAAACACAAATTTGTGTCTCCGGTCCTCAAAGAGTCAAAACATGTATTTCTTAAAAAGTATTAAGAGATCTCAAGAAATAAAATTATTATTTTCAAACTATTTGACATTTTATCAAATTAATTGATAAATGATAATAATTTTCGTCGTGCGTATATACGATATGTAAAGATTAAAATATAATAATTTTCATCAGTGTAAAATATCAATATGAAAAAAATGTCAATATATAATATAAAAATAATTTAACTATGAAGAGCAGCTATTTTATATAGGAAAAAAGATATTTCCATTAAAACGAGCTAGAGAAGATAAAACAATAATTAAATAAATAAATACTGTAAATATATAGAATGATTAAATCAATAATACTTTCACTAGTTTTTTTTTTCTGTTTTTTCTTTACCGCGGGTTTCAATTTTTTCTTAGCAAGTGGCAGAAAATATAACGTTTGTTTATTACGTACTTAACCGCTTATCTTTACACGCGGGCTTACGATTTACATATACTTGTCACATGATTTTCTGTTCAACAAAATAATCATTTTCTATCTGAGTGCTATCTTTCTCTACACAAACATAATACATCTATTTCTCTTATCTCTCCTGGGACAAACTAACGATAAACGGGGCGTTGCATTATTAATCCAAAGAAAAAATTACAATATAAAAATCTACGCTTAACTTAATATAAAAATATCACGAATTTGTGTCTTACTGTGTAAGCGTTAAGCAATAGATCGATTGAAATATAACGACAAAAAAAAACTGATAAGTTTACTGCTGACGTTTTCGCATAGCTCATCCCTTTTTCTCATTTAGCTACTCGAGAATCTCAAGCGTGTGACCCGGAGATCACGCTGCGCCTAAATAAGCGCGGGAATGCCATGCGATGAAAATTGCGATGATTTGCGCGTGAATTAATCGAGAAGACAACGCACCTCGTTCGCGCCGTGACGACGTTTTCTCCGGTCCGCCGTCCCAGAAATGCGTCAGCTCCGTGGGATCGAAGCTGCATCTCTCGCGCTCTCGCCGCAGGTCTGCGTTTATCGTCGTCATTGTTATTCGCTAAACTTTGTTTCGCTAAACGTTTGCTATTTCGTAGACAGAAAGAGGTGTCACGCGTTCCCAAGCATCTACCGATAGCGCCTCTACTGACTCACTATTTGCGCCGATTACCGGCTGACCAACTCTTCCGCACAAACGTCGTTAACGTCACAACTAGTCTTAAGCAGTGACAAACTCACCACTGAGCCAAGCATTGGAATTTCATTCAATCTCTCTCTTTGCTCCCCGATCAGCGAAAATGACGCACGATACTAGCGACATCTCGTCGTACATAATCTTTACGATGGACACTGATCTATGTGGATAAAGTAGATGCACGAAACAGTGAAGCTCTACTGCGTCAATTCGTGATATTATGAAATATATTAGCTATAAGGATTTGTAGAAAACATTAAAACATTTTATTATAAAAAAATATAAAAAAGAATACATGTTACACGTCGATTATAAAATCTGTCAACTATTGATTCTTTGAATACACCACAGAGCTCTTTACAATAACATCTTCCATTGCGCCTCTGATTTTAAGGAACGCTCTCTTAAATTCTAAGCCGCAGCCCTTGGACAGGCGGAAATCCACTAATATGTTTGCATCCATTTCTATAAGGTTCACTTTAAAAACGAGCGGCATCTTGCGTCGATCCGTTGTCGATATCGTCACCTGCAAATACACGTGATTATGTTAGTTTTTTTTTAATGTTCTATATCTTACAGCCTTTTTTTCTATTAATTTTTTTGTTCTGTTATACTAAAGTAGATTTCTGCATTATGCGATTACTTACCACGCCAAACTCATTAACACGGAAAACATAATTTTCCTTCTCGCAATACCTCATTAGCCTCTTTACAATATCCTGATATTCTATCTTGACAAAGAATCTAGTCATTCGGCGGACTAATCTTTGGAAGGAATTTTGCTATAAATAAAATATAGTAATATTACAATCAAATATCCGCATCGTAAAATTAAGTTCTCTTACAGTCACGCAAGTATACATAAGTAGTGTACTACATGTTCAAAACATTTTCATTCTGTATATTAGAGGAGATGGATTGAGTCTTCTTAATTTTATATCTTATACGAAATATCTTATACGAAAAAAAATGTTTGGTTCCAAAGAATTCACACCAAGAACGTTCGACTGTACAATCTTCAAATCTATCAATTCAATACCTATTTAGCAAAGTCGAAGACAATGTCATACCTGACTGGGTTGTGTCATCGCTTGTAATTGTGTACATAATAAAAGATCTTCTACATGAGCGGGCTGAGAAAATGAAAACGTTGGACGTTCGGTTAGATTAAATTCAGTCGCACTGATACTTTCCATTCCAGGAAATTCGGGCTGCGACAAGCAGACATTTCTTAGACTTTCGTCCTCCGCCCATGCCTGTTTTTGCCCATCAACACAGTCTGTAAATTACAGATAATTCATTTGTATACGAGAATTTCACAAGGAAAGTATAATATTCACTGACGAGATCTTGTACATAGGACAGTCTATACTATTAGCATACTATTACTAAACTATTTCTATGTAAAACTTGATTATTTGCACACACATCATACTTGGAAGTATTTGCCAATGCTCTCTGCTTTGGTAATCTAGCTTTATGATGCTTGATTAAACTCATAGAGCTGTATTACCAAAGAAAAGGCAAGAGCTCCACTGACGACAAAAATTCCATAACTACAGTATACTTTCTGATCCTAATTAACACAAAGCACTTACGCAGAAAAGAAGCAATAAGAACTCGTCGTATGCAGTATCCACTAAATTAGGCACTGAGATGCTTTGAGTGATCTTATTAATACTCAGAGTCACTCAGTACCTGACTAAGTAAACACTATTCTGGCGTCTCCGCAAACATTACTTGTTCGTGGATATTAACATAAATGGATCTATGCTATATATTAAATATGTTTCTAAAAGAATCGATTTGAAGCGCTTTTCTTTTACCTCTGGTGCAGCTTGTGACAAACCACCTATGCTGCTTAATATCTGATATTTTATATCTTGCTGATGACGAGTCCGCAAGAATCTTTCTAATCAACGACAACGACGAATTGTCCAATTTTTTCCATGGTGTGAGAGACATATATTTCCCGTATTTCCATGCGATATATTCAGGACACTCTGCCAAGGGTTGGTCCCATGGCAGTTCTATATTTCAGATATGGACCAGTTAAAAACTGAGAAATGCAAGTTAGAAATTAGAAAGTTCAACAAGTTTCATGTCAGAAGGCACATTGACTTATGATAACAAATTTCAACTTAAAGCAAAATTAGTGAAGTCAATATTTTATAATTGTACAAAATGCGTCTGAATATATAAACGATAATATTGAGAGAATAAATGGCCTTCTTTTTATAATTTTTTATAGATTTTATAGTTTTATAAGAAATTTACCTCCCGCTAATAAGGCAACGAGAATAATTCCACAGGACCATACATCCGCAGGCTCCGCATGATACGCTCTTACTAGCACTTCCGGTGCGACGTATGGTAATGTGCCGCATTTTTTTTCCAACAAACGTTCTTTACCTTGTATACGGTATATCGTCGCTAATCCAAAATCACTTATCTTTAAATTGTCATTATCGTCTAGTAGTAAATTCTCCGGCTTAAGGTCTCTATGCGCGACGCCACGACTATGCAAATATTCTACGCCAGAAATTAATTGTCTAAAATATTTCTGTGCTTCCCCCATTGGCATACCAATATCAGGTTCTGTAAAAAAAAAAAGCACATATTGTTTCCAAGTTACAGACGCTCCTACATTTCCGTATTTTCGCATATCTTTGCGAATTGCCGATGTCCAATTTAAACCTACCGATTCTATCGAATAACTCTCCGCCTGAAGCGTACTCCAAAAACATATATTCCATATTAGGCTCACTGCGTTTCCCAAAGTATTGTACAATATTAGGATTCGATAACATACGATGGATAGCAGTTTCCTTGCGAACTGTTTGCCTAGCATCTGGATGTTTTTCAACATCAACCATTTTCATAGCAACAGCCTCACCTGTAGACTTATTGACGACCAGTTTGACCCTGCAAAATCGTACCAAAAAATTATAATAGCAACAATATTTTTAATAAAATTTTTTCCGTAAATCTTTTTGTCTGTAAAAATAAATAAAAATACTGATAGAAATTTTTATCTGTAGAAATAAATAAAAATACTGATAGAAATAGCATACATCGATTGAAACAAAGATCGAATATCCGACCATGTGCTGAGAACAATGGATTTTGAAAATGGAGCATATTTGTTAAAAAAAAATACAAATAAATGCGAAATTATTGCAAAGTAATAAAGAATAAAAAAAAAACGTACTCGCCATAGGCTCCTTCGCCCAGGACATGCCCCAAAAACCAGCCGTCCACGAACTCCGTCATTTCAGCATGCCTTTCTTTATTCGACCCAACGGAATTTTCGACGCCGTATTACGCTTTCTGGAAATAACCGGATATTTGCATGTGACAATAACGATCGGTTCAAATTGAGAAAAATGAATTTAAATCCGCGAATAAAGCGAACATCAAATGCGCCAAGTTACATCGCGGGAGAATACTTACGCGTGAGCAATTCGGCGTAACGGCCGAATGAGATTTTCAAGCACGTGGTTGCAGCGGGTTACATGGAAGAATCATCGCGTGATTTCAATAAAAGCCGGTACGCGCGAAAAATATCGTCGTCATTTCGCGCCGTCGCGGATTTAAGCTCCGCGCAATGCGATAAGACGAAACGCGTTTAATTTATAATAAAATCGCGTTAATGAAACGGAGCAAATCACCATCCGATGCACTTCCTGCGGGACTACGAAGATGTATGCGGTCATAGAATACGAGAAGGAGTGATTATTCCCGTTGTCGCCATTCCGATTAGGCTTGTTCACAAACAGCCAACTTCGGCTCACAATGTTGAAAACTCTCTTTATGGGACCGCTATATCAACGCGACGTATTCTCGATAAATTGTCAAAATTATCAGAGAAATATATCTGAAAAGATAGCGGAAGTTGATCTTTAAAAATCGTCGAAATTAAGGTCAGAATACTTATTCCTTTATCTACAACAAAATATAAAAACATTGATATATTCAGATTGTACATTATTTGTACATGAATGTACTATGATTCTTAGTGTTTATACAATTCTTGGTTAATTAAAAAAAATAAAAATAAAAGTTTCATTATCAATAAGACAACTGAAAGTTAGTTTACTGTTATAATTATTTCACATAAATTACTTTATAATTAGTTTATTGTGCTTAATCATTTGTACATCATCTGTACATTTTTAACAATTGATTTATTTTTTTTTAAATAATTTCTTTTTTGTTTAAAATATAAATATATAATTTTTATTCGAATATGGCGGGTAAATCTTCAAAGTGCGTTTACATTAGTATCAATTTTATCAATAGGTCTGTTCTTTATAGCTGAACTGGCTGCACTAGTTCAGAGTTTATCTTTCTCTTTCCAATGTGGAGGGAAAAAGATAAACTATGAA